CAGGTGAATTTGGGTGTTTACCTCTCGTGAGACCAATATCTGGCGGTGACGTTTACTGTCTGTCCATCAGCCCTTCGCGCACTCGGACAAGCGAGGATGAAGGTCCCACCCTCTGGGATCTCTTGTATCGGAATCCGAGTGTCCGACTCAGACAACAGCCGTTTTGGGTTGGTTACTATGTTCAGCACAGCGTAGGCAACAGCCTTCAAGTCTCCCCGCCTGGCTGAACAAATCCAGAGGCCCGCATATTGGCTGTTGTTATGTCCATCGAGCAGCAGATCGCTTCGCCACAAGGGGAGATCGGAGCCAAGCCTGGCCGCTACAACGAGGCGCCTGAGAGAGGCACAGAAAAGAGGCAAGAAGAGAGATTTTCATACAATAGACACAATATTGACATCCACATTTTCGATTTCATCCAGGTTTAGCACATATAAACCTTGGATAAAGGGTCGATCGGAGTACTTGACTTCAGTAGAAACTGAAAAATTATATCGAATATTGCTCAACCCACAGAAAGGCTCGCTTATTTTCCAAAAGCATAGGATAGGCCTTTAAAGACCAGATCCCATATGCTCCCATATTGCGGCAATAAGAAATATGAGATGCGTTCAACCTTTTTCGTTTAAGGCGATGAAGAACTGATAGTTGAATTACACACGATGATGAGAGTAGACATTTTGCTTTCCAAAAGGTATTCTCGTCCTGGCTGAAGTGGACTGAAGTTGTGACCTCGTCTAGACTGGCCTCATTGGCATCCTCAGCGGGACTCGAACCGTGATAATGTAACGTATAATGTCTACATATTGGCAACTGCGCCACACCACCACGAGGGCACTTAGGTCACAGGGAAAATGTGGATTTCAAAGAAGGTTAGGCATTTTCCCATATCACATTCATTGATTGGATTGTCGATGAAGCAAATTTATATTTGTTATAGCAATCTACTACATTAACTATAAAAGCGGTGATTGGAAGCGCCAAAATGTACCATTTTCGTATATGGTGAGTCGCACTGGTTTGCAAGGAAAGAGTGATT